AAGGTAGTGTAATGACAGAAGAACTGGACTCATTGGTGGATTCAGGAAATGGACAGGAACCATGCGGATGAAACTTCATGAGGCTGAAATGAAATTAGGACGAGAGAAGTGGCTACAGGTTGCTATAAGATAAGACCCCAGAAATGAGTAGAAGACGGAAGAGAAGACTTGAACACCTGCTCATCAAGCTTTCTCTTTGTAGAGTTCTCTGACTCCTCCTAGACGGCTCTTTTAAAAACTACTCAGGTTCGTGTTAGCTCCAGGGATACAGGAATGCGTGGGAAAAGGAGAAGAGGTAACACGAATCTGAACAAAGAGCAATTTATTTAGAAGATTTATATGTTGCCTTCAAGGGGAGTGAACAAGATTCAGTGAGGAGACATTGGATTCAGCTTCTGTACCCGAGTAGGACTGGACCCTGTACTTTGAAATACACATCACGTCTCAGGTGGACATAGACTCCAGACACCTTGGCTATTAGCAAACAAGCTGCTGTGCATTTACTTGATGGGACTCATCTAGAAAGCGATTGAATGCCTTCCAGACACAGTTCTAGGGGAACAAATCCCAAAGCCTGCATTTGCAATTAGGCTGAGCTGAAATTTGCATCTGTCATTCAACATTTTCTTCCTGCAGGAGTCATAAAAGGATACAGGCTAGAGGAGGAGTGGCTACAGGGCATTTACATTTCCAGAATCTCTTTTTACTTTTCACACAGAAGAAATGATTAAAGGCAGTACGCAGGTAGTAATTTAGTTGTTTGTGCTCTCTAAGGGTCTAGCCTGAACCTACCCACTCACCAAAACTCTCCCCTCGATTATCTTATTTCATTGAAGAAGTGCCTCCTGCTGCTAATGTGCCTACAGGATGCAGGGGTGGCTAATAGGATAGGGCAGGAATTACATCTATGTCCGAGCAAATTGTCCCAATTGCTCTAGGTGAGCAGCATCTTTTTGCATGTGTTCTTCAGTGCTGAACTGCCTCGCAGTATGCACCCGTCCGAGCGTGTGATGCTGAGGGACTGTCGTTTCTGACAGACTTCCATTCTAGTCTCATACACCCACTGAGCTTCAATCCATTCATGGTTGGGCACCTCCCCCTGGGAAACTATAATAGATTCCTTTGCAAAGTATAATCTTAGCATCTGCTCCGGTGCTAAATTACTGAGGCCTGGTCAGTCAACTGTTCTGAACAAGAGCTACTGCTGTTCATTGCTGGGCAGGGATGCCTCCACCTGAGGGAATAAAAGGGGTTGTGATCCATGACAACAGCCGTGACAATCCTTCCCTAAAAGCCTTTGGAGGAAGAGGAAAAAGTCCTTCTGGATCCCCGTTTCTTGATAGTCAAATCAGTCTACCTAGGAACCTAGCATTCATCCAATGTTGCAATTGAAATTTTTGCATTTCAGGACAAGCATCTCATAAACCTTTTTTTTTGTTTCATTTATATCCTGATCTTCAAAATTAAAATTGATCCAATATGACCTAGCAGAATATCATTCAATCAAAAAAGTCCTCCCGGGGCCCAGTGGCTTGCTGCCTGCCTCACTGAGAAGATGCATACCTGAACAGTGTTCAAGTCTGCTTGCTCCATAAGGGGGGATGCTGCGACGAAAGATACATTTCTTGGGTGGCCTTCTTTTGTCAGTATTTCAAAGAAATGCTGAGTCTCTGGTCTGAGCATACATTCACTTAATCCCAGGGCATCCATCTGTCCGTGCTTACACATGTGGAGGGAGAGGGAAAGGAAGAGAAGAGGGCTGCTGACTGCCAGTGGATCTTTTATACTGGAAGCTTGTTCTCCATTTGCTATCTTAACCTGAGCTAGGAAATGGATTCCCACCTCTAATTCAGCTCATTAATTAAATGAGGACGCCACAGTACCCAGGAGTAAATAGAATTATTGAATAAAACAGACTTTAAATAAACTAACAACTATTAGACATGTTTGAAAGTTCTGGTTTGGATGGAAGTGATGTCTGACAAGTGGGAAAGCCATCTCCCTTTCTATATTTTTCAAACTGTCAATTTTTAAGAATTTTTTAATTGTCAAATAAAGATGGAATTGCCTGAGAATGAGCAGAAAAAAGAGAGAGAGAGAAAAAAAGATGGAAGATATTCAAGGTGTACAACATGATGATTTGATACACATATACATTATATAATGATTATCACGATCAAATTAATTATTTGGTTAATTAACAGAGGGCCGGTTCAGCCTGCCCTTACAGTACTGTCAGACTTGCATCCCTTCCACCCTTAGGCTTGAGTTGTTCTCGGCCTGTTTGCTGGATGGCTTCCCGCTCCCGGGCTGCATCCTTGGTGGAGGTGGAATTTACAGGGTCTGCAGGAAGCGGGGCTCACCCTGATGAATCCAGAGGGAGGCTTGAGGCTCCTGAAAGGCCCTCCTCCTAGGGACACCCAGCAGGCTGCAGGAAATGGTGTGAAGGCACCCTTTCCTTCCCCCAGAGGTCAGGGGCCACACTGCTTCCTCCCCATCAGAACTTCCTTTATGGTTCAGCTTCTGAGCCCCTCTAGGCCCACAGGAGCCCCGGGATGCATTGTGCCGAAAGGCCCATTTCTGGCTTTGTCTTCCTGCTTAGGACGACACAGGGAAGATCCATGCCCCCAACCGTCGCACGGACCAGCAGAGGAATATGAGCACACAGAAACGGTACGCCAAATGTGATGGCAAAAATGCTATTGCAAGTTTTCACTTCACAAGGACGCTTGTTTCATGGAATGAAGGCAGTTTTCATTTTTCTGCATATGAGCTGCCTTCTGAGGGTGAAAGGATCAGGTGGCCTCGACTTACCATCATCATTAGGAGAAATGGGCATTTTCTGAATCTCCCTCTCTCTCATGGGAAATGCTTTGAAGCACTTGGCAATGAACCCTCGTCTGACTGGTGACCTGGACCCCAGGCTCTGGGGTCCAGGAGGGGCTGTTCACTGGTACCTTGCCAGGCCATACCTCCAAATTCCACACAGGTGTTTGTCTGGGTAGTTTTCAGCCATGGATGATTCTCCCAAATGCCTCACTGCACTGCAGTGGCCTTAGGAACTTGAAAGCTTGGCTTCTTTATTCGGGACTCCAGTGTCTGTCTGCCTTTCAATGCTGGCAACATAGCTTCACTTGTGAAGTCCCTGAGTTCAACATTATCAAGATTCTAGAAGTGAAACCTAAAATGTAATGCTGAGCTTGGAATGTAAATCTCACACAGATGAATCGCATCTGGGCTTAAGCCGTTCATGGGAAGTCATAGACCCTGGGTAATTGCAAAAGCCCCATTGCTTGGTAACCTTTGCTTCCAAGTGTGATGCTTAATAAGGCAAACTTAGTTTTGTAGCTATTTACTTAAATATTTCAATACTTCAGTGCAAGGGGTAGCAGTTCTGAGAAACGAAGTTTTACAAGATCTGAACATAAGGGTACCAATGGGTGTGGCTCACCCTTCCTCTCCCAGGCCAGAGTTCAGGTTTGCAGAGATGCTGAGGCCCTGGTCCCATGGTGGTCACTTCTGGCCATAAGCTGCATGGGCAGTTAGCCAGCATGCTGTGCAGATGTTTATACTTTCTCTGTGTGGCCTGCCATGAAGAAGGTCCACATGCATGCCCAGTTTTCGTGGAGGGGCTGAAAGAAGTCACCCTGCAACTCACACCCTTGGAGTGCCTCTCCTAAGCTGTGTATCTCACTGTTCCCAGCTCTAGCTCCCACTGACCTTTGCCTGTGGCCTGCCAGCAGACACACCCTTCCGCAGCAGGGGCATTGCTACAGCTTTGTCCCTGGCTCTGTATTCTCTTCCTGTCCCCAGAGCAGGTGCACTCTGCGTGCTGGGATCCAGGCGCTCTGGCATGACTGCATTTAGGACTCCTGAATTAGGAACACCTGGGAAGTTTAGGAAGGTATCCTGAGAATATATTTCCAGTAACAGCAAGCTCCACTGACCAAGAACAGGGAGAATATTCGATGACAAAGGAGATGTTTCTTTTCCTGGCTTCTTCCTATAACCCAGTGGGGAACGGGGTCAACTGAAGTGTCCCCAGCTTAAGTCTCTCATGGCTGATTTAAAACAACTGAGGTGGCAGGGGCTTATCCAGGCTGCACTTAACACCGTATTGCTGCTTTGATTAGCCTCCATAAGAACTAATGCACTGTTCAGTTATTATGTTTTTCATGTCATGCATAAAGAATAATAGAATTTCAGAGGTGGGATGAAGCCTATTGATTTTCTAAAGCATCACTATAGTTATAGGTGAAGTGACTGAGACTCCAGAGGTTAAAGGACCACCCTGTGCATCTGCCACTCCTCAGCGTGGGTGCGTGGGGGTGTCTCTCAGATGCAGCCCCCACACCAGCTCGGTGCAGACATCTTCCTGCCAGGATGTGATTTCAAGCCTTGCATTTTGAATTCAGGCACAAATGTCGGGATCAGTGTTCCACTTGTGCCTAAATGTCTTTAGAAGGCTTTTCTTTTAGAGAGCTCTTGGAAAAGTACATTAAAGGACACTGGCTCTTTACTGCATATATGTTTTGATGTGTGTGGGGGAACAGAAATAAATTGGAAAAATAGTACATAGACTCTGTGCTGCATGTGCTGGGGAAACAAACTCCTGGCCTTTGCTTTGCTGACCTTCACTCCCACCCCCACCTCTGCCCTTTTCATAGCACCAAGAGCTGCCATTTGCCCAGCCCAGTATTGTACAAGGCACTTTGCACCTATTTCCAACACTCGCAATAGGCCTATGAAGTAGAAATCATTATTTGCACTTTACAAATGAGGACACCAAGGCTCACAAAGGTTAAGTAACTTGCTTCAAATCACATTGCTTCGTTAGTGGTGTAATTCCAATTTACGTGATTTCAAGGGTAAAGACGTTGATTTGCATCTCAGGGTTCTGATCAAGCCATGTGACCCAGAGAGGAAACCGCCCCCCTCCCTCCCAGCTCTCTGTCAGAACTTCCCAGGACCTCTGCAGGTGAGGCCAAACCCTCGCCTACCTGCAGAACTCTCCTTCTGATTCCGGCAGCATCAGCGAGGCCATGGGGTTCTTCATCAGATCGGCCACCACAGGGTCCTTGGCTGTCATGTAGAAGAAAGGAATCCCAGTGCTGTTGTTGAAGGGGCCGTCACTGATGGGCAGGCAGTTCCCAAAGGGCAGTCCTTGGATCTAGCAAACACCAGAAGGGGCCTTTTCAATGCAGAGTTGTGGATTGACGTGAGCTGGGGAGTTTAGCTTGTGTCTCTGACCAGGAAATATAGCACTGGGAATATGAACGGACTGTGGCATCACAGTGGTACATTAAGGCAAGGTGGTCCCCAATCTATTCCATTCACCCAGTGATGGTATCCAGAATTTATAGGAGATGCTTAGCGGTGGCATTCTGTCTGGAAAGGATGGTTAAAAGATTGATTTATCTTGAAGCTGCCTGTGCATAGCAAATACACTCACTTTACTGAATTTAATGTTATTTTCGGAGGGGCAATGAAATTTTTGGGGTTTGAGGGTGGTGCTAAACCCTTCCCACAAGCTGTCCCTAAGAGCCCCACTGCCTTCACTGCCTCCCCCAAATTTTTGGCAACTTTAGGGAGAGAATTTAAGTCTTAACTTTAACATCTTGCCGGGTCTTTGGACTCCAGGAACTTCCTGTTATTGTTTCTTTTAGGGCTATACCACTTTCTCATTTATTAGTTGCATTTTTTTATTGTAATCCATAACATTTCATTATATAACTCAAAAAATTATGGGAAGTTGATTTGTTACCTAAGTCAAAGAAACATAATGTAACAATTTTTGTTCGTGATCATCCAGTAGGGTGGGTGAGGGTGGTACAGCCTATTTCAGTGACTTCAGATAAAGACAGTAATAAGTTTTCCCAAACCCTGCTGGTCAGGCATTCTAGTCTCCCATGAACTTTATCTCTTACAAGATGCACCTCATTGTTACTTAGTTCTCAATTGAGGGGCTGTCTTTGTCTTTGAAATGCTGTATTACAATGGTGTGCAGAATTGCAAAAGGCAGGGCTTTAGTCTTTTAAGAAATTGAAAAGTAAAGAAGTCTTCTGAAACAGTGAAGATAATATGGTATTTCATTTACAGATTCCATTTTTCAGCTCAGTCATAAACTGCCCAGAGGCCTGCTTTGCATACAAATGGCAGCCACAGGGTATTTTCTGAATTTATTGAGTTTAGATTAAATGTCAGTATGTATTAGCAGGGGGAACGCCTAACAAAGCTAAGAAAAGGGATGTTGAAAGCCAAAATATCTTTAATACACTGGCATTAGACTTTTAACTGCTTGAAAAAAATTTGTTTTAAATCAAGATCAGCTTCATATTTAAACTTTATGTATTCTTAAGATATGTCTTAGGAGTGCAAGATACAGGTGAGAAACCATTTGGATGCTGTGACTATCCAATTGGATCTGAATCTTACATTAAAGAGGTTAAGATCTTTGCCAAAATTGGAATACAGTTGTCATTTAGATAAGTTTCAAATAAAAACAAAACAACACCCCTTCAAAATTGCCTAGCCAACCACCTAATTTTTACAGATGAGGAAAGCAAAGTGGAGAAGCGGGTAACTTGGCCACAATCTCCAGCTGGTGAGACCCAGAGCTGGAGCAAGAACCAGCCCTCTGGTTAATGTCCTGTGAATTCTGCAAAATACTAATTATTTTTTGCAGGAAGTAAATAGGAGTTTAAGTTACTGCCCTGTAATAAAAACACTTACATCTATCCTACAGCCCTAAAAGCTTTCTGAAGCTGGATACTTATGGAAGCTACCTCCTCACTGCTCATCCATGTCATTCAGGTGGAGTCCTGTCTAACAGGTGAGCAAAGCATTTGTGAACGCAACCATAAAAAGTACAGCTGATAGCTTATTCTCCCATTTACACGCTTTCCAGGAAAAATCCTGAGTTCCATTTTCTTAAGTGGAGATTTCCAGCAAAGCCCTGGTGCTGTGTTTCTCCGCATCCCCGCTCAGGTGCAGTGTCGCCGGGTGACTGGGTCTGTTCTCTGTGCACGCCTACTCTTGAGATCCCAAAGGCGGCTCCCGCTGCTTTGTCCAGGTCCCCAGCCAGGCGCTGGTTGTTTGTACTTCTCTTTGGCTGTCTGGAGACAGGCATTCGGTTCCCAAGCTTACCTGGCAGGATGCCAGGCTTTCAACGTCCCGCCCCCGCCCCCGCCCCCGACTCTGCCAAGCTCATCGAAGCACAAGCTAGTCCCATTATTCACAGTGTGGACGGGCCGATCCAGCCCACTGCGCACATCTGTTGAGACCTGGATCCCACTACGTGAGCGGTCGCGAGCATCTCCCTGTCCCCCGGGTGCGCCGCCTGATGGCCAGGCCCCCGCGAGGCAGGCACCTGCAGCCCGCCCCGGGCCCGGGGCTTACCTTCTCGTGGGCGGACACGGTGGCCAGGCAGCCCCAGGCGCTCGCGTGGGCCAGGGAGCGGGCGGTGCCGGCGCGCAGCCTCGGGCCGGGGGAGGCGCCGGCCGCCTGGCGGCTCTCGCGCCGGTAGGAGAACATCCCTGGCGGCGCGTGCGGCTGCTTGGCGCGGGGGGCGCCGGCCCGGGGCCGCAGGTGCGCGTCCTCCTTGTGAGCCGAGGCCGGGAAGCTCTGCTGCCAGATGCTGCCCGAGTCCTCCAGCAGCGCGGGCAGCGCCTCCTCGGTGGAGGCGCTGTCCAGCTCCTCGTCCACCTCGTTGGTGACGGCCCAGGACACTGAGCTCACGATCACGTACCCGGCGGCCGGGGACAGCAGGGCGCTGCAACACAGCAGCCAGGAGAGGCGGGTCCCGGGCCGCGCCGGCCGCTGGCCGCGGCGCACGGACATCTTGCAGGCGGCGCGCCCTGCCGCGGGGACCGCCAGCAGCGCGCCAGCGCCGGGCAAGGGCGGCAGCGCCCCCCTGCGGCGAGGCGCGGAGCCGGAGCCCCCTCCCGACCCCCGCAGGACTCCCGGGCGGGGTCCTGGGCTCCAGGCCTGGGGAAGCTCTTACTGCTGCGCTGCCAACTTGAGAAGTTGAGGCTCCTGGAAGTCCGGATTTCGCACAAACGCCGCACGTACTGCAGCCCCGGCGTGCAGAGTCCTTGTCGCGTGCAAGGTCCGAGGATGGGTTCATTTCCGGCACGATGGCACAGGTTCTGCAACCAGAGGGTGGGCATTCAAATCCCGCTCCATACGCTCCTCTGCTCAACACCTGTGTGACCCTGCTACGCCACTTAACCTCTCTGTGCCCGTTTTCTGCATTGGAAGACGAAGATAATGTTTGTCTCACACAAGGGGGATAGACGGGAGGGTTAAATGATTAATATTTGCAGAGGCTTACAGCAGTGCGCATTCCGGGGGATTGCTTCCAGGACCCCTGCTGATAGCAAAATCCACGGGTGTTCAAGTCACTGATATAAACGGGTGTAGTGTTTGCATATAACCTATGCACATCCTCCTGTACACTTTAAATCATCTCTAGATTACTGATAATACCTAATACAGTGTAAGTGCTATGTAAATTGTTGTTACACTGTATTATTTAGGGAATAACGACAGTTATTCAGTATAGACGCAATCATGTTTTTTTTTTTCTTTAAATATTTTCAACTCCAGTTAGGAACCCACAGACATGGGGAGCTGACTATATTTTGTTAACTAGACACAAGGTAGGCATGTTATCACCATCTTTGTAGAGGAGAGGACTGAGTAAACAGTGGAGGTAAGGTTAGAGCCAGTTCCTTCTGATGCCGAAGCCCATTCCCTTTTTCTGTAAGAACAATAACCATCCCACACTTTGCTGTGTCAGGCGGGCACTGCCTCCGATTCATCTAATAGCAGAATCGAGTTATTGACATTTAAGTTGAAATAAAGGCCAGTACCCAGAGTGGGGGGGGGCAGAGTGGAAAGAGACTTGTATGAATGTACCACAGTTTTAAAACATTCTCTTACTGACTGAAATTGGGGTTGTTTCCAGTGATGAAGTTTTGCAGGTATCAAAATAATTCTAAGTTAATTATACTTTCTTACCTCTGCTTATGGAATCCACAGTCTCCCCCACTAGGAAACATTTTCTACTCTAGATTTTCTATCTGAAATCTAATGGTCCTCTTTCAAATTTATTCTCGATGAAAATAACTTGAAATAGCACCTGACTTTTATATTTAAAGTATTTTGGCAAAGGTTATATTCGGTGGGAACTAGAGTGCCTGCCCACTTCTCCTGGATTCACTGCCCCCTCTCCCCTTCCATTCAAAGCCAGTTTTCAGTGTTTCTTTCATCTCCTCCTCAATGTTCTCCAAGCTGGATTCCCAACCTCACTCCAGCTGCCCTTTCCAGGGTGACCTCTTTCTAGTCTTTCTTTCTACCCAGCTGACCTCTCTCTCCTCCTTTGAGTCTAGTCTTGTCTTTTCTTTCTTGGGTCTTTTTTTTTTTTTTTTTTTTTGAGACAGGGTCTTACTTTGTTGCCCTGGTTAGAGTGCAGTGGTGTCATCATAGCTCACAGCAACCTCAAACTCCTAGGCTCAAGCCATCCTCCTGTCTTATCCTCCAAAGTAGCTGGGACTACAGGAATGTGCAACCACACCCAGCTAATTTCTTTTTTTATTTTTTGTAGAGACAGGGTCTCATTATGTTGCCCAGACTGGTCCTGAACTTCTGGCCTCAAGTGATCCTCCCACCTCGGCTTCCCAAAGTGCTCCTTCGGGTCTATTTTTAACCTCTGGGGCTGTACTTTCTCAATCTTCTTTGCCAACCCTCACCTCCTTCTCTGTGAGCTCCTAAACCTTGTTATTCTAAGGGCAGTTCTGTCTGTCCTTGTCTTCTCATCCTGCATACTCTTCCGGAGTGATCTCATCTATTCCCATGGCTTCTGCCATCATTTTATGTTGCTGGCTTGCCAACCTAAATCTCCAATTTAGTGCTCTCACTCTCTCCTCCACTGCCCTGCCCCCAGGATGATGTAGCCTGTAGTCTTGGAAAGGCAGTGTAGTAAGTCATTCTAAACATGGGCTCTGGATTCAAATAAGTCCAAATCCTGCTCTATCATCTACTAGATATCATTTGACTCCTCTGAGTCCCTGGTCTGCAAAATGGGGATAGTCATGTCTCCCTCACTGGGTTGTGATTGCAGAATGGGATATCAGATAGGAGGTACTTGGAGATGGGGGAGTGCAGACCATCCATGCTTTATTTTTTCACAGAGGAGATGGAATGTCCATTCCAATCCCTGGAAGGGAAAATTTGAAGGAATATTGCAGGCTTTTGGTTGTCCTCTTACTCCTGCCTGCCCATGGGAGGAGGAGTGACTCATCTGATGGATGAGTTTAGGAAGATGAACTTAACATGTTCTTCTAGCTCCTGCAAAGCTGTTTTTTTCTGAATGATCTGTTCACCCTTTTCTTCTGTCCTGCCTAACCTGATGTGTCCCTCGAGGAGTTACGTGGTCACCATGCCCTGCATGTGACTAAGGGCATAGGTTCAGTTGCACAACCTAATAGCAGTCCTATTTGGTCAAAATTCCCAATTAGCTTTATCTCTATTAAACTTTTTTTTTTTTTTTGAGACAGTTTCACTGTTGCCCAGGCTAGAGTGAATGCCCTGGCATCAGCCTAGCTCCCAGCAACCTCAAACTCCTGGGCTCAAGCAATCCTTCTGCCTCAGCCTCCCGAGTAGCTGGGACTACAGACATGCGCCACCATGCCCAGCTAATTTTTTCTTATATATATGTTAGTTGGCCAATTAATTTCTTTTTATTTATTGTAGAGACGGGGTCTCACTCTTGCTCAGGCTGGTTTCGAACTCCTGACCTCGAGCAATCAGCCCACCTCAGCCTCCCAGAGTGGTAGGATTACAGGCGTGAGCCACCACTCCCGGCCTCTATTAAACTTTTGGATGCTTGTCTTTTACTTCTCAATTAGATACAAACTCAAAGGGAATTTAAGAGGGTGAGCAATAATTACCCTCCAAACCCTATCACATAACATGTGCCGAGACATAGTAAATGCTCAATGAATGATAGACATTATTATTTGCTTTTTGGCCATTTACCCCTGAATATATAACAAGCCCCTCACACCCAACTTTTAGGAGATAATTCTCCTTGGATTTCCTGTATTCCTATGGAGTCCAGACCTGTTTGAATGGCCCTGTAAAGCTGGAGATAGTGTATCTTTCTGGAGAGGTTTAGGGATATATTTTGCAGAGACATCCCAGGCAATAAAGAGGTGGGTATGAGTCTGTTTGATTTTATCATACAATGTCAAATTGATTTCCAAAATGATGATGCCAATTTATGCGGCTACTATCAGAGCATGAGAGTGACGCTGCTCCACATTCTCAGCAACAGGGATTGCTGCTAGGTCCTTTTTCTCCCCCACACCCACAAATCTGGTGGATAGGCAGTGGTCTCTTATTATTTTAATTTGCATTTATTTGATGACTAATGTGGCTATTCACTTTTCATATATTTATTAGCCAGTTTGATATCTTCTTTTGCCCGTTAATGCCTTTTGACTATATATATTTTTTACAGTGGTAAAAAAACAAGGAATCTATCCTCTGAATAAATGTTTACGTGTACAGTATGGTATTATTAGCTATATGCACACTGTTGTACAGCAGATCTCTGGAACTTTTTAATCTTGCATAATGGAAACTCTTCATCTACTGAACAGCAATTCCCCATTTCTCCTCCTCTCAGCCCCAGCAGCCACCATTCCACTTTCTGTTTCTATGAGTGTGAATACTTTAGATACTTTATATAAGTGGAATCATATAGTATTTGTCTTTCTGTGACTGACTTATTTCACTTAGCACAATGTCCTCAAGGTTCATCCATGTTGTAATATATAACAGGAATTTCTTCCTTTTTAAGGGACTTCCTCCAGTACTATGCTGAATAGAAGTGGTAAGACTAGACATTGGCCTAGGCAAAGAATTTATGAAGAAGACCCCAAAGGCAATCACAACAGCAACAAAAATAAACAAATGGGACTGATGAAATTAAAAAGCTTCTGCACAGCCAAAGAAACTGTCAAGAGAGCAAACAGACAACCCACAAAATGGGAGAAAATTTTTGCAAGCTACACATCTGATAAAGGGCTGATAACTAGAATCTATTTAGAACTCAGGAAAATCAGCAAGAAAAAATCAACCCTATCAAAAAATGGGCAAAGGGCATGAACAGAAACTTCTCAAAAGAAGACAGAATAATGGCCAAAAAAAATATGAAAAAATGTTCAACATTTATAATCATCAGGGAAATGCAAATCAAAACCACAATGAGATATCACTTAACTCCAGTGAGAATGGCCTTTATCAAAAAGTCCCCAAACAACAAATGCTGGCATGGATGTGGAGAGAGATGAACACTCCTACACTGCTGGTGGGACTGCAAACTAGTTCAACCTCTGTGGAAAGCAATATGGAGATACCTCAAAGCGATACAAGTAGATCTACCATTTGATCCAGCAATTCCACTACTGGGCATCTACCCAAAAATCAAAAGTCACTTTATGAAAAAAGACACATGCACTTGAATGTTTATAGCAGCACAATTCACAATTGCAAAGCTGTGGAAATAGCCCAGGTACCCATCAATTCATGAGTGGATTAATAAAATGTGGTATATGTATACCATGGAATACTACTCAGCTTTAAGAAACAATGGTGATATAGCACCTCTTGTATATTCCTGGATACAGCTGGAACCCATTCTACTAAGTGAAGTATCTTAAGAATGGAAAAATAAGCACCACATGTACTCACCAGCCAATTGGTATTAACGGATCAACACCTAAGTGTACATATAGGAGTAACATTTATCGGGTGTTGGGAGGGTGGGAGGGGGGAGGAAGGGACGGGTATATACAACCACAACGAGTAAGATGTGCAACCTTTGGGGGATGGACACGCTTGAAGCTCTTACCCGAGGCGGGAGGGGGGCATGGGCAATATATGTAACCTTAACACTGTA